CACGGCCACGGCAGGGGTGTTGGACTAGATGGCCTTTAAAGGTCCCCCCAAACCATTTTATGATTCTATGATTCCCTAAAACAAGAATGGACCAGCTTGGGTAATCAGAATAATACAACCCAAACCATTTTATGATTCTATGATTCCCTAAAACAAGAATGGACCAGCTTGGGTAATCACAGAATAATACAAGTAGAGGTTGGATTTAATCTGTCACCACACAGGATGGTAAATTAGACACATCTATTTATCAAATTTGTCTTCAAAACAGAGGTTAGAAATTTAAGGAAGAACTTCGCCCCAGGGCAACTTTCTTCTGGCACCATACGTACTGCTTCCTTACAGTTTAACACCTGAAACATAAAGCAAGATTTAGCCTTACCTGTCCACCTCCTAGGAGCACTTACTATCTTGAAACTAATGAGAATTACAATATTAATATTCTTTTCTTCCAGCTCCAAGTATCAGATTATGCCATCTTTGTATTTTCTTCAAACAGTAGTTGGACTGCAGTCCTTATATTTATTTGCAGTGCCAGATACATCTATGTATCATGTGAGGAGGAGGCAGCAGGTTGTTGCATTTCTGTGTGGAAGAAGGCTTGGAAGTAGTTAAAATTGATTCTAAAACTCCATCTGAGAAACCAAGCTAGCAAAATAACAAGGTAGAAAGACAGCCGTGGATGGCCTTTGTAACACAGTATATTTGCTTTGTGCTGGCTTTGAGAAGGACTGGACCCTGTGATGACTGCTACAGACATCGGAGTTGCTTACGTTTAACTCAGTGTGGCTCTGGCATCAGCTAACCCCTCTCCTTGCACAGCTCAAAGTCACCGTGACCTGTTATTTTGAAAAGGCCTTTTTTGTGTGTCTTAAAAAAACAAGGCAGCTCACTCCCACTATCGACCTGGAGCCCTTTTGTGCTTTTGAGGGTATATGTGTGGGCATGTACCAAAGCAAGGGGCGAGTCCCAGACAAACTGCCCCAACAGGCTCCTCATTGATGCAGACTTTTCTTGCTG